GGTGGTGATGCCTCTCACCCTGGCATGGAGGAGCCAGGGTGTTGCTAAATATTGATACCGCAGGGATTTTGACAAAGGAATGTTGAAAATGAGTCACAGGGAGGGAAAAGGCAAAATCTTCAAAGACTGAAGTGGAGAGGGTATACATGGAGGGGGCCGTAAATGATTGCAACAGAAAGGAGTAGTGGGTACCATAGTTTCCTGACATGAGATTCAAATCAGGAGATGGTGAGCAAGGAGGCAGAGAGAATGGTTTGGAAGAGACAGCAATTTAGAAGCATCTGTGAGGCACAGAGTGGCACTCCCTTGGCCCAGTGGTGCAAGGTGACATGAAAGGAAAAACACCCACCACTTGATTGAGCTGTCAGGATAGCAGTGTCTTCAGAGAGAGAGAACCAAGTTTTCTTAAAGCAAGAAGGTGAAGGGACTGCTCAGGTGACTGAAGTAAACAGGGAAGTAGGAGCGTGGTGGGATCAGTGGTCACCATGGCAGAGGACGGTGGTGTAGTTGCCAGGGTTGTAGAGTGGGGGGAAGGAGGTTGAGATTATTGCAATTAACAGAGTCCATGCACCTAATGTTTCAGGCAGTCTAACTCCAGAGGCCTGGAGAATTTTACCATTCTGGTCTTTTGATTATGAAAAGGATGTTGACTTGTGATAAGATAGTTAAGGACCTGTTTTATTTAAAGCATTTTTTACTGCTTTTAACTTTTTGATTGCATTGATGGAGGACTTTTTGTCTATAGCCTCAGGATTCCTCCAGGAGAAAAAGAACCAGGCTAGGTACATTAGAGTGGAATTCCAGGTGTGAGTTCTCTAGTGTGTAGAAATGAATTAACCAACTGGAAATCTTTCTGGGAAAGTATGGCATTTCACAGATATTATTTGTAAAATGGGGAAAATTCTTGAAACTCAGCCCAGATCAGTGCTCAGTAAGGAACTGTCTTAGCTGGGCATGATGGTGCATGTCTATAGTCCCAGCTACTTAGGAGGTTAAGGCAGGACGATTGCTTGAGCCTAGGAGCTCTGGGCTGTAGCACACCATGATTGCGCATGAGAATGGTCACTGTATTCGAACCTGGGTGACATAGTGAGACCCCATTTCTTAAAAAAAAAAAAAAAAAGAACTTTTCCCCATTGTTGAATGCCCTTTCCCCCATTCCTGTGCTTATTGCTGTTTCTTTGGATGTTACTTACTTTCTCTGTTAGTTTCCTATCTGTCAAATGGCATGATCATAGTCCCTACTTCATAGGAAAGTTCTAATAATTAAATGAGATAACACATATTTATTATTCCATTTTCATGCTGCTGATAAAAACATACCCACCACTGGGTAACGTATAAAGAAAAAGAGGTTTAATGGACTCATAGTTCCACTTGGCTTGGGAGGCCTCACAATCATGGTAGAAGGTGAAAAGCATGTCTTGCATGGTGACACGCAAGAGAGAATGAGAGCCAAGTGAAAGGAGAAATGCCTTATAAAAACCGTCAGATCTCATGAGACGTATTCACTACCAAGAGAACAGTATTGGGGAAAAATGCACCCATGATTCAATTATCTCCCACAGAGTCCCTCCCAGAGCACATGGGAATTATGGGAGCTACAATTCAAGATAAGATTTGGGTGGGGACACAGCCAAACCATATCAACATGTGAAAGTATTTAACACAGTACATGGTGCATAATATAAGCACTTAATAAATATGATATGCTATTAAATGACAAGTGGTAAATTTTTGGCTCCCATTTAACTCTCTTATTCTTGCCATTATGTTTCTTCTTATTTGCCCCCTTTCTCTTCTTCTTTTTTTTTTTTTTCTTTGAGACGGAGTCTCGCTCTGTAGCCTAGGCTAGAGTACAGTGGTGCAATCTCAGCTCACTGCAACCTCCACTTCCTGGGTTCAAGAAATTCTCCTGCCTCAGCCTCCCGAGTAACTGGGATTATAGGCTTGCACCACCACACCTGGCTAATTTTTGTATTTTCTTAGTAGAGACAAGATTTTACCATGTTGGTCAGGCTGGTTTCAAATTCCTGACCTCGTGATCTACCCGCCTCAGCCTCCCAAAGTCCTGGGATTACAGGCATGAGCCACCATGCCTGGCCCCTTTCTCTCCTTCTTTTTCCACACTTTCTCCTTACCCTGTTTCCTCTTTCCCTGGTTGCAGTGGCATATGCACCAAGGTCAGGACTCTTTGTGGCCCCCTGAAGTAGAGAAGTCTTGGAGTAGGGGTGAGGCAGCCATCAGAGGAAGGAAATTGCTGGTGGGGACAGTATCTTGGCCACCCCATCTCAAGTCTGTAGCCACGGTGGCTACAGAGATACAGTGGGCCAGTGACAAGAGGCTCAGGAGCTGGGAGGCCTATATTGCAGGCAAGTTTGGCTGCTGTGTGATGTGGGGCTAGGGTGACAGATGGTGGGCAGAGCATGCTATGAAGATGAGGATCATTTAAACAGGAAGGGACTAGGGTAAATCACCTTGTGGAGGGGCAAGTGAGGACATGTGCATGTCCTGCCCCTGATCCTGTTGCTGATACCACTATGACTACTCCCGTTCATAAGGGTGGCTCCTCCCCGTGGAGCATCTCCTATGAGTCAGACTTTTGTGGGAAGGAGCAAGCAAGCAGAGGGTAGCTGAGTGTGCTGGCTAAGACTATAAATTCTAGAGCCAGACTGCTTGGATTTGAATCCTGGCTCTGTCACCGAATGAGGGTATACCCTTGAGTAAGTTATCTAACTTTTCTATACCTTAGTGCCCCATCTCTGAAATGCAGATAATGGAACAATACAGTTCTTATGAGGATTTGTTTAAATTGACAGTTTACAAAGGGATTTTCATAGTCCATGGCGTAAAAGAAGTTGTGAGTGTTTGTTATATTTTTTTAATTTAGAAATCATACAACAATCTTATAACAGAAGACTTATTTTCATTTTACTGATGCCAACATGGAGGTAGAGAGGGTAAGGGCCTTGGCCAAGGCCACACGGCTACTGAGCAGCAGAGTCAAATCTAGAATACAGCTTTGACAGACTCCAAAGTCCTAGCTTGTAACTGCAATGCTTAACTGCCTCTCTGGACATTCAGGTGGAAACTCTGCTTTCTAGAAGGCCTGGGTGTCAGGGAGAGGCAGGTGAACACTGTGAGTCAAGGTGGATGGTCAGCAATTGGAGTCTGAGAGGTTGGGAGAGGTATTGCTTGAGGACACACCTGGGACTAGTGACTGCCTGCCCTTGGCCCAGTTCCTTGCTGGGGGAGAGCAGCCTGACTTCCCAGGCCCATTTCAGAAAGAGGTCAAGCCCCTTAGGTACGTGAAGGTGTTGATTTCACCCAGAGAGCTGTGCCTTCTTGGGACTTTTTCCTCCTTCTCTGTTTTCTGGGTAACTGCAGTGAAATTATTAACCCTTTTGTACCTCAGTTTCCTCATCTGTCAATTGAGGATAATAATTTACCTGCCTGCTTCCTGGGGATTTTGAGACATTGAGTAGATCGTGGATGTGAAATCATTTGAAAAGTGTAAAGCAGTACCTAAATTTAAGATATTAGAGTGATCTCAGACCACAGTACTGTGAGGGTCCAGCGTAGACCTCTCAGGCCTCCATAGCTACCTTGTACTGATAATGCCCAGTGACTAATTTCACGACCTTTCCAGCTGGGGTCTGTAGTGATACTTGGAATCTTACCTCCTTTTCTCAGTTTTTACATTTCCCTCAGTGAGTGTAAGTTAATAGTTGAGCAGCATGTGGGTTCGTGGGGAATTATTTTCCGTGTGGATTTTTATTTCAAAGACCCAGAGCCAATGTCTGTGTCCAGGCTCCACAGTTGTCCCAGCTCCCATTTTGGGAGCTCTGCCATCTTTTTGGTTTCAGCCCTTGGCACAAGGCAGACCTGGGCTCCTGTGCGTGGGGAGCCTGTAGCTGCCTCCTCTCTTTAGCACACAGTCTTGGTTATGCGGTTGCTCTGTGGGGAACAGGGAGGCAGCTGACTCTTTCCCCTGGGTGCCCTTGTCTGTCCTGGCATCCTTTGGGGTGTGTGTGTGTGTGTGTGTGTGTGTGTGTGTGTGTGTGTTAGGGATTATGTAAGCCCTAGAGACTAGGCCCCTTGCCAGCTGCCAAAGTTCTTTTTTCCCCAGAATTGAGTTAGCCCCCAACCGTCTCCATTCTCTGCCTGCTGCAAAACTCTATGGCAGGGCCCCGATGGCAGGTCAGAACATGCTCTGCTTTGATAATACAGAGATTCCATTTTGAGAGGGATGGGAAACAGGAGTGAGTGAGTGGGTGTGTTGGATGTAGGGAGAGTGAGAACATTCTTTTTGGTAAGCTGTGCCACAGTTGGCCCAGCAGCTTGGTCTAAATTCAAAAGTAGGGCTAATGCTGGGCTGATACCCAAATATTCAATGGGGAAACTTTATTCTTGGATCTAGACCTATGAGACCTAGCAATCTTTTTTTTTTCATCTGGAATATGGGGATAATTCTACTCCATATGATATGTTATTCATGCCAAATGAGAAATAAATTTATAAATAGTCCACCATCTAGTCTCCAGGAGCAGGAAGTGATATAAGGTTGTAATTCTTAAAGTATATTTTGCAGACAACAAACTGTTACTTAAAAAAAAGAGTCACTCGCTAAGTAAGTTTGGGAAACACTGGATAAACAATGGCAAGTAGGTTTCTTGTCTGTAGGGACCACTCAGGTCCTTCATATTCCAATAATACACATGAGAAACCACCAAAGGGATATATTGTATGCCACATGCCCTACAGACTTTCTTAGTGGAACATTTATAAGTACATTCTCTACAAAAGACACCTAGGAAGATCCTGCGTAGATCAGAAGAATATTCATTTTGTTCTTTTTTCTCTGCAATTGTAAAGAAAAGTGATTGGTGAAATGCATGAGATTACTAAAATATGGGTCCTGAACAGCAAGGGAGGTCAACTTTGGACTCTATTGAAATGAATGCTTCCTGATCTGAAACACTTCTCTCCTGTCCTCACAGCTCCCCTTTGAATTGGAGATTTACTACATTCAGCATGTAATGCTCTACGTGGTACCCATCTACCTGCTTTGGAAAGGAGGTAAGGCTAGCAAACCACATTCCTATGCAACCCCCACACCTAGCCACTCCCTTCTGTTTTCGGGAGTCACAGCCTCTTGAATGCCTACTGGGATCATCAACTGCTGCTTGCCTGTTTCTTCAGCATGTTTTATGCCAGGTACCCAAAAGTGTGGAGATGGGAATGGATGAGGCCTGCAAGGGATCTGGGGACTTTTTAGATCCATCCTTCACTGGTGACTATGGTGCTGCTGACTGCCTGTCACAGGCCTGGGCTTTGGGTTCTTGATGGTGGCATTGGGTTTGCATGGAGTCCCCCATACTCTGTCACCCTCTTGTGCTGTGCCTTCTCCCTGCCTCAATGTGGAGTGGCGGGGTAGAAGGAGAGAGTAAAGCACTTGGTCCACTCAAGAACAAAAGAGATATTGTAAGGGGCAAGAAGTCCAGTGACTAGGGTAATTATGGGATTTGGGGGAGAGGCAGGTGAAAGATCACTGTCAGCCATGTAAAATAAACCCCTGGAAACCTTGATTTGATGTTGGAGTCACTACCTGTGGGGGTCTGTCCTGCAGACCTTGACTCAGTGACGGATGAATAAATTCACTCAGACACAGAATACAGTGAACGAGCAGTCTGGGGGATACATGGTCACTCACAGATACTCGAGGAGACTGCTATAAAGAGATAGCAGCCACCGGCCATGAGCTGGCCTCTCTGGCCTTTATTCAGCACACATTAAATGACAAAGGCTTTAAGTCAACACCATTAGAGGGTGAAGATTAAAGGCCAGGTTCTGAGGCCTAAAGTAAACACCATTAGTTGGTAATATCCCTGGTCAACCTCCCCTTGAGAGAGCTATCTGGAATGAGTAAGGAGATTACCATAGTTAGGTAATCTCCTCACACTCCTTCATTTGTACTTTAATTTATTTAACGAAGGGGACAAGGCTGCCTTTAGCCAACTACTGTAGTAAAAACCCTTAGGCCTTCCAAAAGGGTTTGTGTATATTCTCTATAACTAAAATTTCTCCTACCAGCCTGACTGAATCCCCACAATTTGGTGAAGAGGGTGAGACCACCAACCTGGTAGAGGCAGCCTGGAAAGGAAGCTGATGTACATGCGACCTCTCAGTGACCCTTAGATTATCCCATCCCTCTGTTGTATAACAAACAAATGGAAAGGGAAGTGCCTGTCCATATAGACTTGTTGTGAGAGCCCTCCTTCTCAGTGTTCTTTACTTCGTGAAAGGCCTTGTGATTGGAAGACATCCTCTTTCATTGTTAGCCACCAGCGTCTCTGTCTCAGTTGTGAGACTTTTCTGTTCCTACCTTCCTACAGAAAGCAAGGGTTTCATTTCTACCATACTAAAAGTGGCATGAGGCCACATGGGCCCTTGAGCTTACTGGAAGATGGTCTGGGACTTCTGTTGGGTTCTGCTTCTTCTTGTCTTATGAGTGGATACTCTAACTTAGGCATTCCAGCAGATATTAAGATCTGGTGTGGGATAGCCCCGAGGCCTAGTCAACCCAGAAACATACTGCAGGATGGAGTCTACTTGTAGTCCAGAGATTTGCCTCCTGTCAGTTTTCCATACTTGCCTGTTCTTTGAGACTGCTTTTACCCTGTGCGGCCACTTGGGGTCTCACAATGTCCAAGCACACTTCCTTTTGATTTGCTGTAAAAGCACTATTTTCTCCACAAAGCTTTAAGGAAAGTCTGAAGTTCCAAAATCCAGGAGACTTGTGCCATTTGTTAGGTCTGTCCCCTGTGGCAGCAGAAACAGCCTCTTAATAATGTTAAGTCTTGGAGATACATGCATTCTGAATAGAACCAGGCAGATAGGTGTCCCTGGGCCTCAGACCCCTGCTACTCATCATTCCTGGCTTCTGGGGTGTCTGATGGAAGTCATAGCCAAATCTGCATGGCTGTTATTTAAATATATTTGTACTCTAAGGTCACCATAAAAATCTGTCAGGTAGCTGGGTTAGACTGGTCTGACATGGAAAATACCAACTAGCCATCTTTCCTCCCTCCAAAAGAATAATCCAGGAAGCCACATCCTTAAGACTTGCCTAACTCTAAGATAATTATATCTTCTTAGGGCAGATCTTCTCAATAGCCCAGTTCCCTAAGTGGCAAGGTGAGAGATAGTTAGGGCTGTAATGAGAGACAGTATGCTCTGTTCTTGCTAATAATCCATAGATACCTGGCTCAGTGAGGGTTTAGCTTGCAGCACAAGTGGAGTGATCTCGCCACACTGACTTTTGACTCCAGGACCTGGACGAGAGCATCTACCACCCCACAGAAGTTAATGGGCCCTAGTACCTTCTATCTGGCCAACTTTGAGCTATTTTGAGGGCACATCTCCTTTTCCAGCTCTTGGCTGCCATCTGCTGTTCACTTGGGGGGGAATTATGAGCATTGATAGAAACGTCTGATTTCTTCCTAAGGCTGATTTCACCTTTGGTCCCAAGCATTAGACCTAGGCCTTGCAGAGGGAGAAAGGAGCTAGAGTGAGCTGTGGGAAGATTACTTTACTGTAAACCGACAAAGCTGAGAGTTGAGGATTCTGTTCCATAGAAGTCTCTTGTAGTTTTGTAGAAATAAATGGCTTAGCATTTTTTATCAAATACAAGACAGCTCTCCTGTACATATCTCCCATGCCCAGGAACCCTGTTTTCCTGAAAGGCAGGATCCTGCTTGAGCATATAGTGTGTCTTCCTGTGGTTTGGGTGGGTGGGTAGGTGGCGCCTTATGGTAACCTCACTTCTCCCTTATTCTTTTTTTTTTCTTCTTCTTTTTTATTGCATTTTAGGTTTTGGGGTACATGTGCAGAACGTGCTGACTTCTCCCTTATTCTTGCAGACCTTATGCACCGTCACAGTACATGGACCTGTCTCACCCATACCACTCTTTTTTTCCTTTGGCCCGTTCCTTCATTTCCCTGTTTACTCTCCTTCCAACTTTTGCCTGTGACCCCCTGGAGCTGTATTTTCTTTTTTCTTTTTTGTGTTATGGTATTTTTAAATTTATTTTTTATTAGATACTGACAAATTGTACTTGTGTATATATATAAGGTGATGCTATGCTATATGTATACAATGCAGAGTGATTGAATCAAGCTGATTAACAAACTATATTTCTTACAAACCACCCCCAACCACGCTGGCAGCTCTTCATGGAGCACAGAGCCCTTCCTGTCTCTTGCCTGTGGCTTCCTCTAACGGAGGCTGTTCTTTCTGCTCTGCCCCATATGCTCCAGAGGCCCCTCTGTGTGTTCTAGACTTATCTCTACATTAGGGGAAACGGCTTTTTCTTTTACCATTGTCTCATTTTTTAATCACTTGACCTCTTGGTCACTTCCCCCACATTCCTAGAAGTCGCTGGACTGTAGCTCTCAATATTTCCATTACAGTTTGAGCCAACATCTTGAGAAACTTCTTGTAAGGACCACATGTCCATTCCTTCTCAAGGTCTTGACTTCTTAATTGCAGTGACCGCAGCATTCCCTTCTTTTCAGCCACCAGGATCTTGTTTTCCCCTAAAGCTCCTCTATGTGAGAACATAACTGCTGTTATGTTCTTTCTTTGACCCAAATCTCCACTCCTTTCCTCTTCTTTTCTTCCCATTCAGCTTCTGTCTCCATGATCTGTCATTGAAACTTTCACTAGCTCCTGAAAGTGTCTCATATCCCTTGTCCCTTCCAACTGGGATAAGAGTCCCATCCATTTTCAGTGTGCCCAGTCTTGGCCTACTGGAGGAACTCTTTCAAACCATTCTGATTAGGACCATGAAAATTTCATGATACCTATTATAATTGTGCTCTCAGTACCATTGCTCAATTTATTTTCTGTCTATGGTCAGCCTCTCCACACATTGCCCTCACAAGTCCTATGCTAAATCTTTACCACCCTCCTCAAACTTCCTGTCCTTTCTATTCAAACCTTCTGTTCACTCCACCCTCAATGGATCCCTCCTCTCCCCACAAATGACTGAGAAAATTGAGGTTTTGGGGATGAGAATTTTCTCAACACTTCGCTGTACCTCTACAAGCTTCTTTACCCACATCCATTCCTATGTACCTCCTTCTCATCCTGGAAGAAGTACTATTCATTCTGTTCTGGCCAATAACACCCCTGTGTGATTAGCTCCCACCCCTCCTACCCCCTCTGGAGCTTCATTCTATCAATTAATCACTTATGTGCCTGGATATATTCTTTTCTTTTTTTAGACAGGGTCTCACTCTGTCACCCAGGCTGGAGTGCAGTGGTACAATCACAACTCATTGCAGCCTCAACCTCCTGGGCTCACGTGGTCCTCCCACCTCAGCCTCCTAAGTAGCTGGGACCATGGGCACATACTACCATACCTGGCTCATTTTTTTTTTGTATTTTGTAGAGACAGGGTTTTGCCATGTTGCTCAGGCTGGTTTCGAACTCTTGGGCTCAAGTGATCCTCCTACCTCAGCCTCCTAAAGTGTTGGGATTACAGGCATGAGCCACTGCACCTGGGCATTACCTGAATTTTCCACAGTTTCTTCACTGCTGGCTCTTCAGCCAATAAAGATGCTCAAATTTTTCCCATTCTAAGAAACTTTCTCGCAGTCCCATGCAACTGTCTTCCCTCTTCCCTTCACAGCTAAGTATCCTAAAAGAATAGTCTAAACAATATTTTTAAAAATTTAGTTCTTTGGGCAAGACAATATTTGTCTTATCCATGTAACCATCTGTGTTATTGTAATACATGTCCTTAAATCTATTGAGGTTTTTTTTTTAACTAAAACTTATAGTCTTTTACGAGAAGCTTCATAGTAATATCCATGAGATTGTGGCTTTGATGTATTGGTTGTCTATTTTAACACAGTTTAGATACAAAAGTATTAAAAATGAAATATTTATCTGTTTGTCACCTGAAATCATCTCATAAATGGTGCATAACTTTGGGAGCCACTTGGGTCTGCCCTTGAGTTTTCTTATTCAAGATCTTTATTCTTCAGAACACTTCACTGTGATATCTAATCCT